CCGAGTACGTGGAAGGATACACGTGGCTCGTGTACAAATGCTACCTGGTTCTATGTAAGAGGCTGGAGTGTGAGCTTTGGGGTCCAGGGCACGTCTCCGAGGGTGGCCACGTACCACTCCTGTGCGAGCGCCTCCTCTTCGTGCCTTGTTATCAGCCGCGATGGATTTCTTGGCGCGTTCTATTTGATTCTCACAGCTCTCGTCACTGCTGCCACCACGCTCGCAGTGTGTCTGAGCTGCGCCCATAGCCTTGTTACTGATTTCCCTTTTCCTCTCTTCCTACTCAAATTGCATTCTCCACTCGGCAAGCAAAGCAAACTTTCTTAAATGCCAAGCAGACCACCTCGCTCCACACTTCCCATCCTCTACGGACACTCCTTTGTGCTTGGGGTGAAGCGAAACCCTTGTCCTGTCCCTGAGCCTAGGCTGAGCTGACCCCTTTTGACCTCTGTAGCGGCTTTTCATTTCTGCTCCCTGGCCTGCTGCACTCAGTCTCAAAAGCTCCTCTCTTCCTAGCCCTCAGCAAATCCATGGCCACCTTTATTTAGGTCAGTGTGCTTGTCATGTCCTCGGCTTCTCCCCGACTTTTGTGGCAGTGGCTCATCCACAGCCTTTGGGGCCTGAGATCAGGTGTCCCATCTCAGAATGGCCATCCTGCCCTCATCTGTAAATCCCCCTCTGATCTCTCGCCATTCTGTTCCGCTTCTCTACTTTGTCTCCACAGCTTATCCCTCATTAAATTAATTAATTTGTTGTCTTCCCCCTTATCCCTCAAAAATACACTTTTATTGCTCTTTTATTTGCTGTTCTATTCCCAATACTTGCATAGCAGGAACGTGACTTAATAGATATTGGATAAATGAACGGTGAATTCCCCCACCCATAGCCTCCTGCCCTCCACTGAGCTACATCCCCATCCATTTTCATTTTTTTTATGTTGAGACAGCATCTGGCTAAGTTGCCCAAACTGGCCTCAGACTCGGAATCCTCCTTTCTCAGCCTCCTGAGTAGCTGGAGTTGCAGGTGTGTGCCTGTAACATGTCTGGCGTGATTCTTTATGAAGGTGCAGGCCTCTCAGATTGTTGTCCTTGTATTGTAGCTGACTGCAGCTTTTTTTTCCCCCCTTTCATAAATAAGACAATCATCCTAGATTAAAAATAGTAGCAGTAACTTTTTCTTGTAAATGTCTTGATGTTATGCATATTATTATCACTTATATCCTGTAGGTCATAACTATCTCAAGGCAGTAGAAATGTAGCACATCTCCAATAAGTGAGGGAGTTAAAGTCCCCTAAAGATGATCTAGAAACAGCAAAGTCAGAAACGATAAGGCACATTGCTCCCCACTGCCTCCTGTACTCCAGTGCATGGTGCACTTGTCTACTTCCTTCCACTGGAGGGAAGACCTGTTGTCCTCTCAAGTGGCTGCCAGTCTTCTCTATCCCAGTTTAAAAGAATGCATTTTTAATTTCCTGCCCCAGCCTGTGTAGCACTCACTTGCTAGGGTAATTCATTGATTATCCTCTTCTATAAGGGTCTCTTGTTCTGAGCCTGCAACTGTGTTGATTCCCTTTGAGACCTTTCCAAAGAGATTGTAATCTACGTCCGGCTTCCTTCTTTATCATTCTACTGTCTAGGCCCAAGAGTTACAGTCTTTATTAGATTGTTTTCCAAGCTGAGTCAGGGGGATCTGGACAACTACCCCAAGCCTGCTCTTCTGGAAATTTACTGTGCACCCTTTTTCTCCAATGGAAAAGTACAGCACCTCTCCTAATAGACAGAGCTAGCGTATCCATTAGTTCGTATATTCCAGGGATTCCATTCCAAGTGAAATGTCTGGTGGTTATTATATGTTTTAGGATGAAAAGAGAGGAATTAAGATATGTTACATACATGTACCAACTCCACACAAGGACTGTAAACAGTAATATAAACGAAAAACTAGCAAGCAGAGTCATTATCCTTTTATGTTAGTTACAGTGAATTGACTACTTTTTACCTGAATCTTTAAATCTTATTTTTTGCTCTGGTCATTTCCTGAACCTTTCTCAGCAACGAATCAGCCTTGGATAGTCCTGAATTGACCTTCTGCTCTCTTCTTATCATTGTTTTGAATTGAATAATTAAGAGGGTTACAAAAGTAAAGAATCTTTAGATTTGTGTTCTGTACATACTGTATGTGGGTAGCATGTCTTCTTCCAAGCCCAGCAAAGTAATGCTGTGTTTGTCCGTGTTAGCCACCACATTTCCGGTTCCTCCTGCAGCACATCCTAGGGGACAGGGAGACTGTGGCTGAGGATGTCCAGCATGACAGACTGCCCCTTCCACCCACAGAATGTCAGTGTGATCCTCCAGAACTCGTTGTGGGGCTTGTGGTCAGATTGTCCCGGAGGACAGTGGTTCTCTCTCCAGATTTCTGCTTTCATGTTCTGTCCTAGCAGTTGGGAAAGCATTAGTCCACACCCTGGGACCCTGGCCAGTCCCACCCAGAGACTGCCCCTCTAGATATGCACAGGAGCAGTGGTGACTCTGGTGACCCTTACTCTTTCAGCCTTCATGCTCTGTTTTGTTCTAAATTTTTGAATGTTGTTATGAAAACTACATTTACAGATGACACTTATATGCTCTTATTTTAACAATAATTGGTTTATATCATAATTTTTTTTTTTTTTTTTTTTTATTTTTTTGCTACCAGGGATCGAACTCGAGTCCTTGGGCTTGTGCAGCAGGCAACGAAACCACTGAGCTAAATCCCCGGCCCTATATCATAATTTATGATCACCCTTGATAAACCTGTTATTTGAGCCACTGAAAGTCAGACATTGTTTGAAATGTGTTGTTTCAGAGAGTCTTGTAAGTTAGTTATTGATGGACAATTGGAAAGTAAATTACCATCCCTGTGAAAGTCGTAATGCTAACACTCGAAACATATCTCTATTTATAGAGTCTTTCTTTGAACCCGAAGTGTTTCTGTCATCTAATGCTAGGAAATTCCCTGTCCATAAAAACATGGTGTCCCTTTTTTACTAGAGGGGATGAATGCCCACACTGCTTTGAGTGAGTTGCCCAAGGTCACTAAGTGAGTCGTTGGTGAAGCCAGAAATAGAATTCAAGTCTCCTGACTCCCAATTCACTTCTCTATCCTCAATATACTTTTCTATCCTCTATACCCTGCTGCCTCTCATGGGAAAAGAAGTTAATCTTCCAGCTATTAATAGCCACCAAATTGGTGGTAGCAGCACAGTGGAGAAAAGTAACTGTCTTTACACTGCAGCATTAGTATAAAAATATCTGGTAATGGAAAATTTGACAAATGTCATGTTAAAGGGAGTGGAAAATTATTTTAAGATCTAGATCTCATTTATCTAGTTCTCAGAAAAGTAAAATTCCTTAGTAGAACAGAGATCATATTTTTCTTCCTGTTTTTAAATTGTATTTCCTAGAGGGTAATTGTCAACGTAGCCATAGCAGAACCTATCGTCAACCAGCATAACAGGAATAATGCATACAGTGTTGGTGACTGCAATACGTGTGTTTTGACTTGGTTGAAAATTTGAATTGCTTTATTGAAATATGTAAAAGTTATTCCATTTAAGTTAGCATTTCATTGTAAAGCGAATGGAACGTCAGGTGGAAATTTCAGTGGTTCCCAATTCATGCTTTGAAAACATGGGCAGAGATAATACATCCTGGTTTCTTTGATGGGCGGTCTTCTCCAAGCGAAGGTACTTCCTGGCAGTCATGAAGCAAGCAGCCGGGGACGTCAGTCACCAGGTCCCTGAGATGAGCGCAGCAGGGCTGCTGGAGGGCATGGTCACGTGTCTGGTCCGTGCGGTCTTTGAGGCATTGATAAAAGGCGTTAGAGATGTCTGTGTACTTAAATATTTTAAGTGTGTCTAGTATTGTAGGAATGGAAACTTAAGTTCTTTCTAGCAAAGCAATTTATATCTTAATTTTGGAGCAAGGACCAAGAATTCTTTTCCTAAAGTCTCTGGATATTATGTTTCTGTTAAGGGTTACTAAACGACTTGAACGAGAAGAATGACACAGCGAGTGTCATGTTTTAACTACAACTGTAAGGGAAGCGGGATGTATGGGGGGTCAGCAAATTCAAGGGGGGAAAAGAAAGGTTTTAGAAACTGTAGTTGTTGTTAAGAAAGTACTGGTAGCTGGTTATGGGGGCACACGCCTGTGATCCCAGCACTCTGGAGGCAGAGGCAGGAGGATGGCTGCGAGTTCAAGGCCAGCCTGGGCGACAGAGGGAGCTCAAGACACAGTGAGACCCTGCCTCAAAAAAAAAAAAAAAGCAAGTAGTGGTAAAAAGAAATGAGCAAATGCAGACTAGAGGGTAAGTCACTGCTCCTTGGAGAAGCATGTGCGTCTCCTGGGTGGAGGAGGAAGAGAGTAACACATGTTGGAGCAGGAGCTGACGGTATTGAGAGATTCTCATGACATCTGGGAAACGGGCTTTCACGGAATGGGAAGAGGCAGAGTACCCTGAACTCGCCAATTCTGCTCACTTACTTGGGGTATTAAACCGAAGTCGTTTTGCTCTGAGTTGTGTCTGATACAGGAGACAGCCGTGCAGTCATCCCAGCACACAGCTCTCCCACTAGCCTGGGCTTTTACTGGTTACTGCCGTTCCTGTGGACGTCGGCTAGACTTCCTCCCAGCTACCCAGCTAGTAGTGATAAACGGTGATACCCTACAATAGGATGAGTAGACCTGGTTGGAAAGTTGTTTTCATGGGTTCTCAGGTCTCGAGATAGTGATACTTGTAAATTGGTATTGATGTTAGCATTATTATTTATGTTTGTTGTATCTAATAAATTAACTGTATTTAAAGGTTTTAGCAATAAACCATGTTTTCTTCCTTTCTGATTTACTTATTTTGTTTAAGATTTCTCTCTATTGGCAGAAAAGTACTAAATTATTAGCAATTTTAATGGGATTATTGGCAAACTAGGCAACAGTATTGAACTTTTTATTTTATTGTACAGGCACATCTTCAGGTGACCCGAATCTGTTTAAAATTCCTCTGCACAAAAGAACTCGGAGAAAACTGATGCCTTCTCCCCTGACAGTAAAACATCCCGAGAAGCCAACGCTGGCTGAAAGTGTCCCGCTCAATGACTCTCTCACCAGAGAACTTCAGCCCCTTTTGTACACCCCCGAGAACTGCAGAAAACCTGTCCCATGTGCGTCCCCACGGCCCTGGGTAAGGCCGCCCTCGCACCCTGCAGGCATCCAGGCCTTGGGCCCCTGTGGAAACAGTGGTGACTCACTGCAAATGCTGGGCAGGGTCGACAGCCCTGCTGTCTGCAGGGCAGCACATGGACGGAGCGCCACAGAGCCCCTCACTGCGTGTGAAGACACCAGGGCCCTGAAGCGAAAGTTACCCGAACAGGACTCGCTCCTGACCAAAAACAGTTTAGAAAGGTAGGAAAAGAGAATGCTGCCAGTTCTTTGTTTGGTTCAGTTTGGTTTTTTCTACTTTTTAACACAGCCCTTAAACTTGTCTTCCTTTTTCTTCTTTAGCTGTATTTGGTTTATTTCTTAGATCAAGTGTGCTCCCTTGATTACAAAATTGTGCTCCTTTTGTTTCCATGAGGTCTTACTTAGCTTCCTGAGTATAAATCCACCATAAGTCGTAAATTTGCCACCTCCACTCACTTGACCTTCGTTGAGAGACTGTAAGATAGACTGTGTCCTGTGCGCGCCACAGTTCCGTAACCCAGGCCATCACTGCAGGGCAACCAGCTCGCTGTCCTTCACAGCAGTTCCACTGCAGCTCACCGAGCTGGGCTTGCTGTGAAGCAACCACCTGTCTGAATCTGAGCACTGCCTGCCTGTGCCGTCCAAGCTGCCACCTCCACCTGTGCTCTTTGCAAAACAAAAAACCCAGCACAAGCGAGGGCAATTATGCAGTATAGAGATATATTTCCCTTTATATTTTAATACCCCATCGTTCTGTAGTTATGGAGTTATCTATGCCTTTTGTCTCGATAGTATAAATCAGGGTTACTCCTCTTTATTTTTTATTTTTCGCTGTTTCCTGACAGGCTTGGCCCTTCTTCGCTCTCAGGCACGCACCCAGTGCCTGTGTCGAGCACGATGCCATCCTACATGGCGATGACCGCTGCCGCTAAGAAGAAACGGAAACTGGCGAGGTACGGCCGCACGGTAACCTGCCTCCACCTTGGCTTCTACCCTTCTTCCCTGCCCGCAGCGCTTTTTATTTCTTGTGATTAGATCGACAGTTCATGTTTAAGCATACCTAGGGTAAATCGCTGTGAAGCAGGCACTGCATTTCCATTATTGCTGGGAGATCTTGAAGCCTCTGTGTTTCGTTTGATATTTACATAAAGTATTCTGTCTTTTAGATTATTAACAATAAATTGAAAAGTCTTCTAGCTTTCAAAATGTCACTGAGTTTTAATTTTTCTTCTGGTGGCAGTTTTTTATCATTTAGTTATTTGTCCTTTTAAACACTACTGAATTTCTTTCATCCTAGAATTATATTTCAGTGGATCCTGATAAGTGACAGTAATGCAGTGAAATGAGGGTCTGCTGGTCCTGGCTGTGACAGTGTGGGTGTGTCAGCCAGCTGTCCTGCTGGATGAAGGAAGTACAGTCGGCAGCTGCTGGAGGCCCTAGGGAACGCCCGAGGCAGCCAGGAGCTGAGGGCCTCAGACCCGGCAGAGTGGGCACAAGGGGAGCAGGGTTCCCCGCCCTTTTCCATGCATGGCGTAGGGCAGCAAACCACTTGTGCAGCTTTTGCCCTCAGTTTACCAGTTTCTAAACTCTGGACTAAGTGAGGGGCCACAGTACTAAGCAGCATTCTGACATTCTGCTGGAGCTGGGGTACAAGACTTAGGGTTCAGGAAGTATAACAGAACAGGTTCTGTCAAACACCCGCAGTTCATTTGAAATCCTTGAATGGCTATGATGAGTATGCCAAAGACACGATCAAATGACTGAAAATCAATAGGAAGGAAAAATTAGAGAAGCCGTGATCCGTACATGCTACAGAGCTTGGGACTACAGTGAGTCCCCGACCTACGAACATTTGAGTTGCGAACTTTCACAACTGTGAGCAGACCTCGAATTAGGAACATTCCTAGATGTAAACCAGTCATGGATGTAGCTCCCGTGTCTGCTGGACACTGTCACAGCTGGGCTGCTGTGTGTTTACTGTACAGTGCGAGAGTGCACAGTGGTACAGTACAGTCGGGGGCTTCCTGTATTTATGTGTGTGTTTGGGTTTTTTATGCTTTACATTGTGTATTTGTGTCAGAGGTATATAAGACTTACTTTGTCAGACTTATGAACAAATCCAACTTAGGAGCATTCTCCCAGAACAGAACTCGTTCATAACTCGGGGACTAACTGTATTGCATAACAACGTTAAATTTTTAACTGTGATTAATTTCAGCAAAGTAGATAAGATAGAAAATTTGACAAAGAACTGAGTTCTCTTAAAATGAATCAAATGGATAGTCTAGAACTGAAAGGGTAGAATTTACTGAAATTAAAAATTCAGCAACTCAATTTAACCATTTATTCCCATGCACAAAAGGATAGGTGGAGAATATAGAAAGAGGCGGGAAAGACTGGGGCACAGTTACAGAGGTCTGGAATGTATGGATCTTGAGTCTAAAGAAGCAAGAGAAAGAATGAGCAAAAACAGTATTTGAGGAGATGATGGCTACTGGTTTCTGAAAACTGACAAAAGACAAATCATACATTTGAGAAGTGCTGCAAATTACATGCAGGACCAACACAAAGAAACATACCTCAGGCCACAGTAGTAAAACAATGAAAGTCCAAAGAGGATACGGAGTTACATGGCCTGAATTTCATCACATATTCTTTATATTCTACAGAATGAACACAGTGACCAAATAACACTGAATAACTGTTTGTTTTTTCTGGTACCGGGGATTGAACTCAGGTCCCTGCGCCTGTGAGGCCGGCGGTGTAACCACTGAGCTAAATCCCTGGCCTCTGACTTTCTTTTCTTTTTTTTTGCAATACTACCATGGGGAGACAAGTATAAGACCTTAAGTCTTTTTAAACTTCCTGTTTTCTACCATGGACCTGTTGTCATGTGGACTACAAGAAATGAAAGTACAAATGGCATGCCGCATGCCATTCATGGCCCATATTCATGCACATATTCTATGCCACATCACCACATCTTCCACTTGTGAGCTTAGGGTCTGCCTTTGCCCTCAAAACCCAAGGACAGCAGAGCCTCGGAATGTCTCAATGTCAAATGCATGGCTGGTTTTTCCTGAGTGTCCGAGCATACATGACATCTAAGGGTTTGTTCAGTAGCCTGCCCCTTGTTCACGGTTTCACTTTCAGGAAGGTTTAAAACATTCAGTGGAAAATTCCAGAAATTAGCAGTTTAGAAGTCTTACAAATGTGTGTTCTTCTGAGAGGCATGATGAAATCTTCCACTGTCCCTCTCCATCCTGCAGCCTGTGATCCCGTTGTCCCACCCCTTAGCAGCCCTTGGTTACCAGATCAGCTGCCATGGTATCGCAGTGCTTGTTCAGGTGACTCTTATTTTACTTAGCAGTTTCCCTGTTGCAAAAGAATAGTGATGCTGGCAGTTCAAATGTGCCAAAGAGAAGCCATAAATTGCCTCCTTTAAAGAAAAGATAAACGTTTATCATAGATGTAAATGAGTAGGAAAAAATATAGGTTGTATTGGGTTCAGTATTCTGGATTATCCACTGGTGTTTTTGGAATAATACTCTGGCTAAAAAGGGTCTACTATATTTTTCTAAGACATGAACTTAAATTGTGCAATTAGTCTGGCTCATAAATGAGACTCAGTCACTTCATGAGGAAGCCTAGCTAACCACTGTCCTCTGTTCCATCCACTCTGTCACTAATTCATGTTTTGTCAGTTTGGTCATTCATTCCGTTAATTAATGTTGAGGGTTTGGGTTCTTTTGTTTCTCTACCCTGTTGTATTTACTAATTATGGCAACATTTACAGCTAAAAATAATCTTCAAATGTAAACTTGGTCATTATCAAATCACATGACTTTTCAAGAAATGCCTTAAGTGTGTGAAGCTGTATTTGGAGTAGCTTTAGGTGAGTTAAAGGACTTGCACATGAGCAACTAATATTAAAGGACATGTAAAGAAAGTAACTTGATTTTTCATAGCCTATTAATTACTCTTATTACATTCCCTCTGGTAACAATAATTAGATCCTGCCATTAAGGAAGGTTAAAAGAGATTAATACTAGAAATGTACATAATTGCTTTTTTAATCTTCCTTTTCCCCAATTAAAGCTACATGAGCTTGAAAGTAATAAACTGGTATTTTCCACAAAGCAGTGTTATATAGATAAATTTTATATATATATATATATATATATATATGGTGTGTGTATAATTATGTGTTCTGTTTTTAAAAATAAAGAAATCTCCGTGTATATGTATCTTACTTTATATCAGAATTTTCTCTGAAAAAAACAATTAGTCTAAAAGCACTGGATAGTCCAAAATCTATCAATTTTTTCTTAATGCTTAACCTTGAGAGTATTCAGTTTGGGTTTTGTTTTTGGTACTGGGGATCAACCTCAGGACCTTGCACTTGAGAGGCAGGTGCTGGAACCACTGAGCTAAATCTCTGGCCAGGAGTATTCAATTTTTAATCTTAACAATGTATTTAATATCACTGGAGCAGACCATTTTGAGTAAATTAATTAGCCTACATATATAAATAAGATATGTCCAATAGCTTTTACTTGTATCGATCAGAGTTCTGGGTTTCTGCTTGTTTGTGTTTATTTGGTTGGTTGATTTTGTTGTTACTGTTGTTGTTTTTAGTTGTCTAGTCATTCCAACTAGAAATTTGTTTTCAACTAAAAGAATATGAGATGTGTTGTTTATTAATCAACTAGGAAGCAAAAGTTTAATTCTTAACTTTTATCAATAATTATGAAAATATATTTCCTACGCGGTTGGAAGAATCTTTGGATTTCTTATCAATGTCATCTTTAACACAATTTAAATTTTATAATTTTAAATTTTATTTATGTTATAAAGATTTCATCAGCAGACTATTTTATCTAAATCCCAAAACTCTTTCATTGTACTTGTCCTGTGTATAAATATGCAACTTATTTGCCTTGGATTTTATTCCTAGAAGTATGAGCTCTAGTGAAACAGATTTATTTAGAAAATTAATTTTCAAATGCAGGTGTGCTACAAGTAAAAATTGACGTCCTAGAATTAACCAAAGAACCATACTATAAAATAATAAAAACAACTTTATCATAAATTTATTATCTCTTATCAAGAGTAACTAATGACAGTGATGTATATACTTGAAGAAATAAAGTCAACAACAGTGTTTAGTAATCCAAATAGAAAGGTAGTGACTGTAGGACCATCTAGGAATAAAAAATTTCTGCAATGGAATGCATTCCTTGTATAACACTAGTACTTTGTAACCATTTTGGTTAGGCACCATCTGCACTTCTGAACAGAGCACTTCAGTTATTTTCCCCGCCCTCGGTGTTCTCCAAAGCCTGGCAGTTCTGGCTGTTTGCAGTGAGCAGGCTAACCTGCCCCGTCCCTAGGATGTGCGCTTCTGCTGGTTCACCACACGCACGACTGGGACTGCAGAAGGGCAAGTTGTGCCCTTCAAGGGAACCTCCAACTTACTGTAGCTGACACTCAAGTCAGCATCACTTATAAAATGGCAGAATGTATCTTTAGTAGCCAAAAAAAGTCCCTAAAATCAGCTGGTTTTAGTCAGTGTACAAGAGAGCAATCCTCCCCCGATTCAGCCCCCAAGCTTGCATGGGAGTTTAATAATGTGTCACCTCAGACTGAAGAGAATTTGGCCCCTTAACCATAACCAGTGTGTGACTGCTTATGGTTCTCAAGATGCAACAAATGAAAATAGGTCTTTCTTTTCCATTTCTATAGTTGTAATAACTGTAATTGTAACAATCTTCAATTTTATTATAAAACAGTACCATTTTGATTCCACGGTGCTTTCCAGATCATCTCAATTGTCCACATCCCCCCATTAGGGTTCTTGCTTCAAACTAATAAACAAGAGCTTAGCTCTTCACCATCTGGCTGCGTGCTGCCCTCTCTATACCTCACATAGCAGTAATCACTGCCATTTCAGCAGTGACCCAAAAATACCTATGGTCATAGCATCCACTTGAGAAGGCACCCTGTGGAGAATGTCCTCAGGGCCTCCAAAGGATATGAGATTTCTCAACTTCATGGTTCTGATTTTTATCACTGTTGCATAGAGAGCATGAATTAGAACTTAAAGATATAAAAAACTGCTTAACTAAAAATAAAATAATAACTTTCACCCTCAAGCTCTACATCAAGTAATCCGTTAACTGCTGAAGAAAATCATGGATTTGCCAAACGTGTTCGACAAGAGAATTCAAGCAATAACCTCTTACAAGAAAACAGACCAGCCATAGGTATGTCTCAGCCCTCACTTGTTAATGACAGGATTGATTATCTAACGTACACATAATACTTTACTTCTTATTTTTACAATGTTGTCATTAAAATGCCTGTTTATGTACTACTTAACACGTGTCCCAGGTAAGGTCATGCAGAGGGTCTTGTGATGCAGGGGAGCTTGGTACCAGATCTCCCAGCTTTCCATTCTGTTCTCTTGTTATCTATGCTGCCTCATATTGCAGAATTGGTGAATAATTTAGCTAATAATCAAATGTGTTATTTAATAAGTTGATTAAGTATGTTTTATAAACTATACCCACTTGTAATTTTCCTCTTAACCTGTTCTAATAATCTGGCCTCTGACTCATTTGTGTAATTACTGTACTGGCCGCAGTTTGTTCCCAGTGATTGTAACACTCATTGACAAATGGAAAAAGATAATAATGAAGGTGACTGTATTCCCTCAGCTACATGTGGGAGTGAGGGAAGGGGCCCTCAGCGGAACTAGAGGCATACTATGCTCACCAGTTTCTAGGTCACGATGTCCAAACCTCTGTCTCTCTGACTCTACAATTCCAAAGACTTCATTCAGAAAGTACCTGTTCACTAACCGTTCACCTTGTGCTAGGTCCTGTAGTGAACACAAAGATAAATACTGTAAGATCCAATTTGGTTTTGTCTCAAAAGGAACGGTAGCACTTAGTATATAAAGAGGTCTCGAAAGGAAAGAGAAAGAAAGGAAAGAAGAAAGAAAGAAAGAAAGAAAGAAAGAAAGAAAGAAAGAAAGAAAGAGAAAGAGAGAGAGGGAGAGGGGGAGGGAGGGAGGAAGGGGTCTCAAGAGATTATGAGTGCTTCCATGAATAATATGAAAACTTTTTTCTTTTTTGTCAATGCTCTGTTTGAATTGCATATAATTTCTCAAAACTTTGCCAACCTGTGTTGCTGTTTACTTCCTGTAGTAGCCAGTGGAAGTTGTTTACCTTAAGCTGGATGTAAACACCTTTTATGCACATTTAAGAATCAAATAATCAGGTACTAAAATGGAAAATTGGTTGATTATTTGATTTGACATTCTGTGTTCCATAATGCTTAGCAATGTGTATCTGTAGTTGGTGTAGGTGAATACTGCTCCATTTGTCTCCGTTGAAAATTTTTCAAGATGTTATAATTCTGCAACTAAATAATAACCTTATGAAAATTCTCAGATTATAGAAATTTGGTTTTCTATTGTCTAGGAATGGTATAAAATACATCAATTTATTTAAAGCAAAGTGAGAAAAAAATTACTGTGGAAGAATAAGTGGTAGATAATACTAAACAACAGTTCTTGCCAAACAAGAAAAAAAGCTAACAATAGATTTTTTTTCTTTTAAACTATAGATTCTTAAGGATAAAGGACCACTTAGAAGGGAGGTATTAAAAAATGTAATATTTTACATACATTAGAATATCCAATTGAAAAATACCTAAATACATATCGGAAATTACTAGAAAAGTAAAAATGAGACTCTCTTCCTCTTTGGAAGGTTTTTGTGATATCAACATTTAGACCCCAGGCCTTCAAACTGACCTATATCCCAGCCTTTTTTTGAGACCAGATCTCAGGAAGTTGTAAGTTGCCCAGTCGCCTCCCGGAATGCTGGGATTGCAGGCATGCACCGTCATGCCCAGCCCACCTAAACTCTTCAGCTAGCAACATACAAATGAAAAGTAAAGGGCCATCGGTTGGTAAAGAAGCCCACCATTGTTGGCTGAGCAGTTACAGAAAGAAGAAATAGTGTCAGGAAACTGTGTGCCTCCAAAGCTAAGGTGACCAGGAAAATGCATACACAGTTAGAAGAGGTCATTTGATGGTGTGATGGCAGCACTGGATGGGGTCCAGGGTCATCATCAAAGTTTGAAAGCCCAGTGGAAAGAATCCAAAGAATGAAAACAATTGCTTGTGAAAGAAAGAAGGGAAGAGACATGTAGAGTGAGTGAGTGTAGCATTTATTCAGGACTTCACCTGATACCTGTGTGTACACACGTGTCATGGAATTTGGCCATCAGCCTTTAAGCTCAAGATATAATGTGTCTTTGTTGTATTTTAAATTGTTTAAAGAGTAAATTTTCCATCCTTTGGGTATAATTTTTAATAAATAAGTTGAATGGTGAAAACTCATTTCTATCCTTGTACTATATTTCTGTATCTTTTTTTCTCTAGCGCAGAATAAAACCATCCATAAAATAAACTCAAACATGGTTAGAAAATTTGGAAGAAACATTTCAAAAGGAAATCTAAGATAAGTCACTTCAAAGTCAAGGATGGCGAAACTGATCCAGTCTGCTTCTGAAGGGATTTGTTAGTGTCCTCCCAGAAGTGTTTCAAACCTCGACAGAGACCTGTCCTGTAGAGCCGTTTACCACATGTCTTCAGCAAGCAGAAAATGCAACTGTCTTCTTTGGTACTTTAAGTAAATATGACTTTTCAATGGAAAAGCTTATGTTTTAGGCTTCTGAAATATTTGTTCCCTTTAAAATTCCCAACTCAGCATGGTGGCCACTCACTTTTATAACAGGCTGGTGCTGTAACAAGTTGAGGAGGGTGAGTTAGGAAACAATAGTTAAATTACCCTTATTAAATTACCCTTGTTAGTTTTTAAATAAAGAAAACTTAGAAATGGTAATAGTCCAAGACATTCTGTGACATTTCCATGCTGTATTTTACTCATACATGTATGTATTTTATTTTCCAGAAATACCTTTGATGTATAAATGTAGATAAAGGTTGTCCATAAAGTTGTTGTAAATATTATTTAAATGTGTGTAATGAATAAAATGCTAATATTGTTCCTTGCTACTTGATACATTAAAGATGTAGATTTTAAAGTGTTTGATTCTCCTCTGATTACTACCCCTTACATATGCTATTATTCTGTATAAAATGTGGATTCTGTATATTTGTATTTCAGACTAGATCAGGACATATGGTACCAGAACCAAATCAGAAAATAATTCATAGGCTGCTTAATAATAATGAGAAAATATTCTAAGCCATTCCTGCTGCTATGGGGATTACGTGGAACTGCAGCCTTGTCCAGCTGCCTTATCTGGCCTGTTTTTCTGCTGAATACAACAAATTTGTGTTTGCACTTGTAATTCTGTCTAGCATCAGAACCTTCACACCAAAGCAAACAACCCTATGAAATGAATCGTGACATTTTAAACCTTTTAGTGGGCTTTTTTGTTTAACATCTGATTGAGAAAGTATGAGGTAGAAGAATCTTCACACAGTTGTTCCTTCTGCATGACTGCATCTACTGCATGTTCACGGATTTCCATCCCAGCTCAGACACACTTTCATTGGAGGGGTCAGTGGTGTCCTTTTTCATTTTTACGTTACTGTCATGTACACTTTTTACATTTCTGTCTTCGCCCTTTTATCTTATTAAATCGCATTAATTTTCACTTATTACCATTCTTCCATCTTTTCTAATGTACAGCGGACTTTGGTTCACAAACTTGATTCTTTCATGATTCTGGCTGCAGAATCCCTCCCACGATTCTGAAGTAAAAAGAAAAAAAGACCCGGCACCAGTATTGGTGAGTGTCACGCACAGGAGCGGTGAAGCCAGAGGAGACAGGGCACTGAAAAGATGTGCGTGGTGCTTTCGAGAAAGTGCAGCGTCCGCCGCAGTTGCGGTCGCAGGCCTAGGTATCTTGGCCATCTTTCATGGGGACTTTTCCAAAATCAGTTTTTAACTCCAAGCCGATGCTTCTGTCCGCATCATCTATTTGGCTGTACTTAATAAAGCCACCCTGAGACGTTCCCCATAGGTACAAATCATTCAGGCAGTTGGGACTCACCTTGCTGCCGAGCACTGACAGTCCATGATTGTAACTCTTGCTTCCAAAGCCTACAGTCCAAGCACAGTGCCTCTGCGACCTTTTCTGCTTTGAAGCAGTGGCAGAAGCCTAAATAGCTAATTAGCTGCTTGTGGTACCAGGCCATTGAAAAGTGCTCTTTTTTAAACACTGAAGATTTTTTTCAGGGAGAGGTTGGGACAATCCAGGGCCTCCTGCATCCAAAACCAACACAAATACTGAGTCAAGCCCAAGGTCTTTTAGCCCGTCAGAAAATACACCATTTCTCTTCTCCATTTCACAGGAAGATTTGGAAAGACAGACCTTGAGAACCAAGTGAAATAAACCCTGTGGACATGTTAGCCCTCCTTTGTGGTTGGAAATCCTGAAACAGTGATTGTTCCTGTGAACCAGCTCCCTAGTGCTTGAGTTTAATTTGGCAAGAGAAATGGTGTAATGAACTGGGTTTATTTAGAAGTCATCACAATGCCCCGATTGACTCATTCCCCCTCCCAGAAAAAATTATGGATAATAGTTCGCGATGTTCAACCTCTTTTCTAGGTATTGAGTACGTTTCATCACACACACACACCCTACTATTAGATGTTCATTTTTAACCAAGGGTAGTGGGAAGCAGTGGCTCTCAGAATTAGCTGGAACTCCTGGATTAGCTGGAACACCATCTGTCATTGTTCAGCTCACTGCTCATATGCCCAAGACGATGCAGTCGACGGTACAGAATTGACATTTCCAGGTGAAATTCATTTACAGAAGTAAACTAATTCCCAGCCATGCCTGTAATGACCATTAGAAAGTCCCCCTGCCACTGAAAGTAGGCTTTAAAAGGGAAGGTGAAAGTAATTGTTCAGTGGGCACGTGCCAGATGCGAAAGTTTTCTAGTTTTTCCCCCAATTCATTTTTTGTTGTTCCGGGTATTGAACTCGGATCCTTGCACTTGTGCAGCAGGCAGCAAAACCACTGAGCTAAATCCCTGGCCCTCCCCCAATTCATTTAATGCTCATTTAGAAATGCACACCAAAAAGGACTTGATATTTAATTCTTTTATAAACTGTAAACATCACAGTGGTATTTGGGTATCTTACAGACTTTGTCTATAAACAGAAGTTGCTTCAAGGCATACTCCAGATACTTGCTGGTACAAAATTTTAGAAGCTTAACAAGTTCGTCAAATGAATGCCAATAATTTTTAACACTTGGATGGGAAAAGCACATTTAGTACAATGAGTGCTACAAATATTTACCTTTTAGTGGTCATTGAAAGGGCTATCTATAGGACACATTTGCAAGATAGATCCTGTTATAGATAGCACCTTAAAATATATCTATACCTAAAACAATTCAGATGACAATTAGAGATTCTACATTCTAGCATATTATCTAATGCCAGATGGGATGTAACATAATATTGCATAACATAGCATGACTCAGCAATGAAAGTGGTTTGGATTTACAATATTTTTCAATTGGAAGTATCATTAGAAAATTCCTGGGGTTGAAGGGAAAGAAACTTGTTCCTGAATAATCAATTCTTTGGACTATTATATTGATAAAGCCAGTTGTAGGATTAGCTCCCCACCTGTAGCAAATGAGATCTTTTGTATTCAGACATTGTCTCTGTGAAAGAGTGAATCAGGCTATCCAGAGGTGCATACTGCTAAGGCATTCATAACTGGTTAACAATGTCAAAGAAAATAGAAAGGCAGCATTGAAGCAAACATGAAACTGCCTATAGCTTAGATGAAAACAAAACACACAGCAGAAAAATACTCATAAATATTCATTAGGCAATCACACTGAAAAGTTCCATTTGGTCCTTATTATAGATTTAACTTTTATACATAAAGCTTAGAAATATTTTATTCTCTTATTTAACTAAAATCAGATCAAATCATCTAATAATTTTGTGCTACTGTAAGTATTTGGCAGAAACTGCTGTGTTCTGGTATAGGTCTAAAGCAGCCCCTGAATCCTTGTGTGCTTGGGAGATGATGGGATTATGGCCAAGCTTGCCGCTGGAGACGGTTCTGGTCCAAGGAGAGCATCCCTGGGACGTGGCCTGGAAGGGGGTATGGCCCTCCCCGGCTCCTCCTCCCCTCCCTCTCTGCTTCCAGTGGGCCATGATGTGAGCGCCGCCCCTCCACCAGACCCTTCCACACGCCTCCCTGCTGGCCCGCTGTGGACTAAAACTGTGAGCCAAAGTAAATCTCCTTTAAGTCACAGCTGTCAGGTATCAAGTCTCGGAAAATGACTAAGACACCCTGAGTTCAATGTCAAAGGAATATACAGGCACTAATAATTTCAACTCCCATTGCATTTTAGTTGTGGTATCTTCGTGGCAACCAGATTGGGAGCTCTATGAAGTCCAAGATCACACTGTTCTTGTTCCCTCCCGTTCACTTTTTACCTCAGTGCCTAACACAGCACCTGGTCCTGTGTTTGGTTGTGCTCGATGCATCTAATTGAAGACCCTGAGATAGTTCACACTGGCATTCCCCAGAGGGGCTCAGACTGCTTCATCTTTGGCAATGCAATGCAAACCTGGTATAAATTGCACAGTGAAGTTTTCAACTAGCAATTAAAAAGTGACTCCTTACGATCATCTTTTGAAATATGTTCTAACTCTCCCAGACAGCCTGGATCACTTGTTGCGGATCTCCTAGGTGAGCCGTATACCGAGAGGCGTGTGCCATCCCCTGTGTGGGCAGAAGGTGATGTGGCTATGCACTCATGGCAAGTATTTCATTTCAGCCCTCAACATTGAATTGATTATTTTTAAATCTTAACTTTGGTTGAAATTTTTTTTAAAATCACATCTTAACACTTTAGACTTTCCTATATTGTCAAGATTATGAAATAATCACCTAGAGTTATAACTATAATTATTTACAGGATATTTTTAGCTAAAAAGTGCAGAGTTCCTTTTATGTGCTGGATTAAAACTCATCTCACATCTCTGGTAGACAGCTTTTATTAGTCCTATGTACATTTACACTGTCAATATATTTAAGAGTCTAGATTGCTTACTAAATTTGATTTTCCTATGCTTATTGACCTATAGAGAAAGAAAAAATAATTGCCTACTGTATGTAAATACTTCATTTTAAAGAGTGGAAATATGGTGAAATTACCATTGTTTTTGTCCTGTATAATCTCAATTAGAATTGAGGAATTGAAGTACTCTGGTCATTTGATTTTTGAGGTTTACCAGTTCTAAAGTTTTTGATTTAAAACATTTTTAAATTTTGATCCTGTATAGAAACTCCCGTTTTCTCAGAAAGGAGAATCCTATTTCTCTCCAGTCTCAACTCACCTGACTGCACCCTCCATACTTCGCTTCTGACACAGGTCGGTGGAAGTTTTCCCCACATTAACCAATTCCCCACCTCTCAGGGCACCAGCTAGATATCCTACAATTCAGTTATGACACTAACCACCCAGATTCGTGCAGAGCCCACAGGTTAAGGGCTCAGTCCCCAAGACTACCTCCGGCCTCGGGCCCTAGTCACAACTAGTGGATCCCCACCTCTCCATCTGCCCATGTTGGCTGCAAGCTGGAGTTCCCATGACCTCCTCTTCATGTGTGATCATTGCTAGCAGCTCAGGAAACTTCTGGAAACACTCATATTTACCCATTTATTGTGAAGACACAACTCAGGAAAACCTGAAAGGAAGAGACCCATTGAGCCAGACCAGAGAGAGGGAGCATGGAGCTCCCACATACCCTCGAGACACACCAGCCACATGTGCTCACCAACCTGGAAACCATCCACACCCTCCTCGATTTTGATAAAGGAGGCATGATCAATTAAACCTTCAGCCATTGATGATTAAGACAATCTTCAGGCCCTCAACCCTCCCCTCTAATCACGTGTTTGGTTCCCTGGCAACTACCCCCTCCCATCCTGTGGTTATCCGGGACTTTCCAAAAGTCACCTCATTAAACTAAGCTCAGGTGTGGTTGGAAGGGGCTTGTTCTGAGCAACAAAATCTTCCATTCACAGGGATC